TCAATTTGAATTTTAGAAAAGAGTGAGTCCATCTGCCTTTCCTTCGTTTATGATTATTTTATAGACACATACTCAGTTTTTCTCATTAGAAGTTTAAATATGATTTTGTAATCCTTTAGAGTAATTCCAATATTAGTTTCACAATTGAAACTGCCAATTACAGACTCTACCATGGTTTTCTGAGTATAAGTTTATAGTAAATACACTCTAGCTTATGTGTCTTTCATCTTAAGGAAGTCAGTTTTGCTCTGAACTTTTTAGGCACTCGGGGAACCTGTTTTTGGAATATAGCTCTGGTATTTCTTGATTATGTTTTTAATACTTGTTTTTGGCACAGTTGAGCAGCATTTAGAAACCAACAGCTTGACTTTGTGCATGCAAAGTAAGCAACAATGAGCTCTCTGTGTTTTAATATTTCCATGTTACCTGATTTAAATGACCCATATGTTTTCTTTTTTCTGGCTGCTTCTTTGTTTTCCATTAGTGCTATTTTTTCCCTCTTCCTCGAGTGAGTGCTTTTTTCGTTATTCTTTTCTCCCTCTCTTCCCTTCCCTTCCTACTCTGGTGGAAGGTATTCGATTATAACAGCATCCTGGTCTTCTCTGGTTCCCTCCCTAGGGAGAGTGTGGTGTGTATGAATGGGTGCTGAACGACTCAGTTGCACGTGTAGATGACGGGAGTTGTAAGGGACCATGGATATCATCTGCTCTTTCACTTGCTCCTTCCCCTGGTGTCACTCACAGGGATGAGAGAAGTAAGCTTAGGGCTTTAAAGCAGGGGAAGCCCAGATAGAGGAGATTTTAGTGACCTTGTTCTGCACAATACATACGATAACAGTTTATATTTATTCGTTGTTAGAGGCTATTTCTAAATTGGGTATTTAAATCAAAGACTTCCAGTATGCGTTGATGAATGTGTAACAGATCACCTTGATGCGTAAATGAATATGGGCGATTTCGTATCTCTCCCTCAGATTTACTGGGGGTTTGTATTTGGGGTCTTCAGTGAGACATGGTTGACCGACTGGATTTTTTCCAACTTTAAAAATAGTTTGTAAGGGTTTTTTCTTTTTTTTAGTTTTTTTTTTCCTTTCCTTTTTTTTTTTTTTTGAGTCTGTATTTGGGTTCAAATCCAGTCTCTGCCACTTACTTTAAGTTAACTGACCATTCTGAGCCTTGATCTCTTTATCCGTAACATGATGGTGATAATCATACCTTCTCCTTAAGAGTTATTGTCAGGATTAATGTGACATGAAGAATGAGATGCTTGGCACAGTGCCTCTCCAAGAGGAGGGTACTCAGTAAATGTTAGCTATGAATATGATCTCCGAGAAGCTGACATTGGAAATATGAGCGTATTTGACTGGAGCTGTAAGAGGCAATTTAAAACTCTTTAAGAGAGAAAAACTGTGGGTTTAAAACTTCACACTAAACATACTGAATCTCTTCAGAGTCCTTTGCTCAAAGATCTTCAGTTTACTTTGTCACTGACCTGAAGATTTCAAGGACTTTTCAGATTCTCTTTCCTGTGAGAAATGCATGAGTGTTACTATAATTTTTGGCAGGTGAGTTTATATTTACTTGTTTTTATTGGCGCTAAGGAAGATACTTGGCTTCAAATGAAAGCTGAGTGATATAAACGTTGCTTGGAAAAGAATGCCCTATGAGTGACTTGCTTAATGTCAGACCTGGTAAGCAGTCAAATCTTGTCACTCTTCACTTGATACACAATTATTTGCTTCTAGCTTAGTCCCAGAAATCAGAATATGGTATTCTTTTTTTTTTTTTTTAAGATTTTATTTATTTATTTGACAGAGATTACAGGTAGGCAGAGAGGCAGGCGGGGGAGGGGGAAGCAGGATTCCCACTAAGCAGAGAGCCCTTTGTGGGGCTCGATCCCAAAACCCTGAGATCATGACCTGAGCCGAAGGCAGAGGCTTTAACCCACTGAGCCACCCAGGCGCCCCAAGAATATGGTATTCTGTAGCAATGTTTTTGTTTTAGTAATAGAAGTTGATAGAGATTTCAACTGGAGATTGCCTGTTCTTGTCTTTTGTTGTTAGAGTTTTGGCCTATTTCACTTGTATGAAATGTATTTATCATAATTTCATTACTAAGTTGATAATGATGCTGTGAATATATTCTTTAATTGACCTAAGCTGTAATCTTGGCAGAAGTCTTGGTTTAGATGGCACATGGAATACAATACAGAATCCTCTTCACTGTGTTAAGATTTGAGGGTGAGATATGCTTGTACCCCTGAAAGGAAAAAAATCCAACCCTCTCTGGTCCTTAGCATTTGTTCCCTCACTTGCCGTAATTAAAAAACTTCTGACCACTTGGCTGAACAAGGATATGCTGTTAAGATGGTCTGCTGATTTGGTCTGGGATATTCTTTAGGGAATGAAGGAATGATTTTAAATGTCCTTACTTGGGTCTGGGTCACTGCATTCTGTAGGATGAGCCAAGGGATGACACTGCAGCAGGTTGTATTCGGTATGTATCGTACGCCAGGAGATGAACTTGGAGCAGGTTATTGACTCACATGGGTTGTGTCGGACCACTTTGGCAGTGAGAAGGATTTTAGTTACGTCTACTTTTTATTGTGTAGCCTCAGAGACCAGTGTTACTTATTTCCAAGTTCTGTTTTCTCACTGGTTGAGCTAAGCCTGGCACTTCTAGAGTACGATTTAATGTAGTTACTGAATTTGGTTCTTGCCATGTTTTCTTTGTAGCATTGATTGGTGCTTTTATGATTCAGTATTCTCTTCCAGCTCTGTACTCACCTCTCAGAGGGTTACTGTGCCAGTTCCATTTATGAAAAGTCAGGAAGGAATTTCTTCATAATTTCTGAATGCCAGGTGATAGTGTGGTCTAGAAAAAAGAATTGCTAAACTTTGAAATTCCCAGTCCTTTGATGCTTCGGAAATAACCACTAGATTTGTACTAGGCCCTGGGTGTGGTTTGGCGAACACGTTTTGAGTATATGTTATGTGTTAAGCTCTTTGTCAGTCGTCATTCTCAAGAAGTACAGAGTCCAGAGGTTCCTGGGTTAAGCGTCTGACTCTTGATCTCAACTCAGGTCTTGATCTCGGGGTCGTGAGTTCAAGCCCCGCACTGGGCTCCACGCTGGGCATGGAGCCTACTCTTAAAAAAAAAAAAAAAAAAAAGTTTAGAGTCCAATGGCTGCCTGCCCTCGTCTAGACAGAAATTATAGTATAATGTAACCTATGTATACAATGAAAGACACGAACAAGGCAAAATATTTTATAGGTGATTATTTTTTTTCAGGGTGAGGCAGGAGATTTGGGTTTTATGGAGGAGAGGAAGATTGAGGATGATGGAGGTGAATAAAGCTTGGCTTTTTAAAAAGTCAGGTTTTTATTGTTGGAGGGCATTCTTGGCAGAGGGAATGTTATTGAGGAGGCTTGAGATGGCATGCAGCAGGCCACTAGGTGTTGTTGGAATATAAATTGTGAATAAGGGGGGCAGATCATGGTAGAACGAGGTACAGGGTCTGTGTCTTGAAGCATCTGGTGACCTGTACTTACAGCACTTGAGTTTTTTTTTTTGATACCTAGTGTTCAGCTAAAGCAGTTGAAAAGATGTAAGCCAGGAGAGGGAAGGAGGGGGTTTAGTCAGCTCCGTTTGACAGCAGTCTAGAGTTTGGATTGGAGAGAAGTAAGATTGGATGTAGAAATACTAGTTAGGAAGGTTGAAAGAAGTTCAGGAGTGAGTTTTAATTTAGTAGGCTGGGTTAACTGAACCGAGATGATGAAATAATGACCAAAAGCATGACAAGGAGTACAGAAAAGAGGAAACATCAGAGAGGTAGGCTGTGCAATCGAGTGGACCCAGAGATCGGTTAAAAAAAGCATACACATGAGTATCCTGGGCTTTGGCCCTAGGTTCTTGATGTGGTCCCCAAAAGGAAGTAGAAAGAAGCAATAAGTGGGTTTCAAGTACTGGGAAAGATGGGTTCAGTTTTGAACACGTGGAGTTTGAGGTACCAGTGAGGCATCTAAGTGGAGATGGCCAGGAAGCAATTAAAGATAAGAAGGAGTTCACTGGAGAGACCAAGAGGAGAACTGTCGCTGTAGCAGTCACCAGCATGTTAGTAATGATTGGTGAAGGAGGACACAGGGAGTGGGAAGAGGAGGAAGTCAATGGTGGAACTGTGGGGAACACGCCCATAGTTGAAAGATATATTCTGAGGAGGCAGATTGTGGGAATGAGTAGAAGAAGATATAGACTGGAAACAAGGTGTTGTAGGCACCGAGGGGAATAAGAATTTCGTGAAGGAATAGGTGTCAGTAGTGTCCAAAGCCAGAAGTCACATGCTGTTGGTTGGCTTTGGAAATTAGACCGTCATTTAGAGCGGTTTGGGACAGAGAAACATTTCTACGGGAATGATAATTTGCCTCTTACCCTTGCCACTTACTCTGTGACCTGGGAAAGCCATTTTACCTCTGGCTCTTAATTTGTAAAGGGATGGAAACCCTCTCACTGGGTTTCAGTCTGTGATCTGTGGAGCCCCACAGCTTCAGAAAAGGTGCTTTGAGGGCCATCAAGGAGATCTGGTGTTTGATCAGATATTTACTGGGGGAAAGAGGTACAGGCATTCTACTGACTCAAACAGAGCAGCTAGGGCAGCTTGATTTTTTTTTTTTTGTCTGTTTTATGTATTTCACTTCAGTGTAAGATTTCATTTGAAAAAAACACAGAATAAAATAAGATTTAAAAACTGCTGGTCTACATGGACCATAAGAGACGGACGCATTAAAAGTTATATAATTAATAGCTAATGTTCAAAATTCCTATACTAAATGAAGATCGTAGTATGTATTGACTTATGGTTTGGATTTTATTAGAGGTCACCATTAGAGTCCGAGTTTATGTGATAATAACAGTTGTTATTCTCATTAGGAATGAAGACTGAATTTGTACAAAGCTCTATTCTATTTCATATTTTGTTAAAAAAAAATTTGTGTGTCTTACCAGGTTCTGACTCTGAAGATCTTTTGGAAGAATTGCTCTGTTGTTTGATGCAGTTGATCACTGATATTCCTCTCCTGTAAGTTCTGGCCAAGCCAGGATTTGCTTTATCTTCTTTGTATATTGAAGATGGTGACTGATCATGTTGAAGAGTTTGTGAACGCAATTCCTATATGTTGTAAAGTGTTCTTTGTAAAGCAGTTACTCTCAATTTTTAAAAAAAATTGTCTCTCTGGAGCCTTTTCAGACATTTTTGTAATTGCCTCTCCCCACTAGTGAAATTTGAATACCCCAGATACACTGAATGTCTCTTCATGTACTGTGGCCCTTTGGAGGGCCACAGATCATTATAATATCTGTGAAGTTTTTCACCCCCGAAGAATCAGTTTTCACTCTCTTAGGAGTGATATCACCCCATGGAGAATGCATATTTTAAAGGAATTATTATTATTTTTTAAAATATTGTATTTTTAAGTAATCTCTTAATTAAGAGCCAACATTGGGCTCACATTTAATAATCCTGAGATCAAGAGTCACGTGCTCTACTGACCAAGCCAGTCAGGCACCCCTAAAGGAATTATTTTTTGAATAAAGAAGAAGAGTGTAAGATTGATCATGATGGAATTGCTGTGAACATGGGGATATCATTGGATGTGTGCTGCTTGCCTGTGGCCCACAAAGGAAGGACCAGGTATTCGTGAGAAGACGGCCTCCCGGCCTCTGTTGTGCATAAGTACAGCATCCAGAATTGTAATCTAGATTTAGAAACGAGAACCACCAAGCCCTGTGGTAGGTCGGTCTGCTGATGCACACCTGGAAGGCAGGGCTGAAGCCACTGAGGAATCACCCGGTGGCGAAGGGCACAGGGGAGAGGGTCCCATGCAGGTGGAGCTCGTGTGGCAGACACAGGTAACTAGAATTTCTGATGTCCTTCCTTGTCTTCTTTCTGACACATCTCCAATATTATTTGGGGGCCATCGTGTGCCCCGCTTAGTTCTCAGGCCCCACGGGAACTAAATGTGGCCCTGTGACGTGGTTTGGGTCAGTGCTGTGTGAGCAGAAGTTGTGAGCTTGCAGGGCGTGAATCTCCAGCTTTTTGGCCTGCTGCCCTTCTCTTCCTTCCTGGGATTCAGAGGCAGTGCTGGGGCCATCTTGAAACGATGATGACGAGTGCCACATGCAAAGAACAGGGTCCCAGGAGTATGGGATTTGAATGATGCCGTGGAACTATTATACGAGCCCTACATGGTTTATCTTTGGATTTCTTCTTAAGTGCAAAAAAAAAATAGACACTTATTTTGGTTAAGCCACTGTGGTTTGGTTTCTGTTACATGTGGTCAGATGTGGGAAGGGAAACACATAGATTGTCTACTGTTTACTTGTCATTGTATGTGTGATGCTTCATGTGTTCTTGACTTAATTTTTTAAAATAGTTCCATCTCTATTGTGTTTATGTCATTACTAAATACCTGGGGTTTAGTATATATCCTCAGTGAGGACATTCTTCCCCCCTCCTTTGTTAATAAAATGTCTTGGTGAAGTTAAGGGGAACGGAAGTAGTAAATCTCTTCAGCTGGTAAGTAAGACTTGAATACAGTGAATAGACCAGTCACTTAAACACTCTTGAGGAGCAAGCAGACAGTGTTGTAATATATCAAACATTTCAGTGTTTTAATGTGTTTATACTTTTTAAATGAACTGAAAATGCACAGACAACCAGATGTCTTGTATTATGTACACTCAGCTTTAACCAGCTGCTGAAACAATTTCTCATGATTTAATGTTCTTGGAACTCCATCCTACAAGAAGGTTTGTCTTGGTAACAGTTTCCATGTGAAACCAAATTACTATTTAAATATTTCATTTACTATAACCATCGTGCAGTGTTGTGGATCAGCTTCTGACTAAAGGGGGATTATGAACTTGAAAAGTGGGGACGCTCTCATTCCTGACTGTCCTCAGTCTCACAGTAGACTTGGCACGTCGGCACGTTTAACGTCGGCGTGCCCCCGCACCATCAGCAGGTGCGCAGCAAGAGGAGTGCGACATTTGTGTCCACCCAGGGCAGTTCAGAACTCACTTAAACATTTCTTGTGAGGCTGTGAAATCATCCCGTTAATATTGGAAGCCAGTGATTACCAAGAGCATAGACAGATACTTAGAGATCTATACACTAAGTTTGAAATGATTCTTTATTATTAAGAGAACATTCAACTGCAGTGGTTTAGATAAACTCCCAGAATTTGTAGGAATTCACTTGTAATAAAGCTTGACTTTCAAGTAGTTAGTAGATACTGCTTCTCAGAAAGATTGGGTGTGTTGATAAGATACTCATTCTCTGAGATTCTAATCTTCAAAGTCTGATTGAAATACACATCTTCTAGGAATCCTTTCTAAATTCCGTACTTCTCAGCATTTATATATTTAAAATAAAGATTAAGTAATTCACAGGCTCATCACTTGATATTTTTCAGCGTATATTGTGTTGATCCCACTGAAGCTGAAATGAATCTGCCAGAAGTAAAAGCCTGTTTCTGTTATACCTTGTCCATGATCTTAGGGAAGTGCATGGGAGGGGATAAAGTAAGATGAAGACGCTAATAGAATGCATAACAGAAAGAATGTGGTTTGGCATGCCAGGGTCGAAAGCACAACACTTAGAAAATTTGTGACGTGGATCGGTTCTCACGGTGTTACTGTTGAGATGCTGAATGAGACCCCGGTGACTCAGCTCAGTGACGGGGCTTCGGATGGTCCCGGCAGCTGAGCCATCCATCTGTATATGGTGATACTTTTGTCAACCATTTCTTGTCCTGCCCCTTTCTCTAGTGCCACCACTCCAAACAGGTCCCTGTGAAGTCTGCTCGGAGTGGGCCATCCTGCTGGCCCCGGGCCAGACATACAGCCTCTTCCTCTGACATCCATTTCTGTGTTCTTCTTAGCAACCTGTCAACTCAACCGTTTAGTTCTTAGCCTGGCCCTCATTTGCAGATTTTCAGTTATAATTTTATAAGAATGTTTATCTTTTTTTTTTTTAAAGATGTATGTATGTATTTATTTATTTATTTGTGGGGTGGGGGAGAGGGAGAGAGAGCGAACACGAGAGGGAGAGAGAATCTCAAACAGACTCTGCACTGAGCCCGATGTGGGGCCCGATCCCGCACGAACCTGAGATCATGACCTGAGCTGAAACCAAAAGTCAGATCCCAACTTACTGAGCCACCCAAGTGCCCCAGAACATTTATCTTTTTTTTTTTTTTTATAAGTTCTATATTGATAAAGCTGAGACATTCCTAGTCGATTGTCTTCACTGCCTTTTTCTGGGTGTGACTAATTGTGTAATGTGACTTTGTCTACCTCTCTAGTACAGGGGTACTGTTGTTATCTGCTGACCTTGTCCATCTCCCTCCTGCTGCTTTAGCCACATCGGTGTCCATGCTAATTTGGGACACACCAACCCACCCCTGTCCCCAGGGCCTTTGCCCCTGCTGCTGCTGCTGCTGCTGCTTCTTCCTCCTTGACTATCTTCTCTCAGATATCTGCATGGCTCCTTCCTGACTTTCAAGCTTCCTTCTGCTCAGGGGAGGTCTGCTTCTCAGGAATAACTGCTCAGACCACCCTAACATAGGACCACGCTTCTCATTCTCTGTTCTGTCATCTGCTTTGTTCGTTGTCTTTATCCTGAACACGGCTTTGCACATTGTCTGTTATCTCTCTTGCTTGTATTTCTCAAATAACATTAGAAGGATGACTGTGAAAACAAGGACTAATTTCGTGCCTGCATTGGTTTTGCTCACTGCCGTTACCCTTAGTATTCAGGCTGGCGTGGCATGTGGTGAACTCGACAAATATTTGTTGACTGAGTAAAATGGTAGGGGCACAACCTGTTCAGTGCGCTTAAAGCATTTTGTTTGTTTGTCGTCATCTAGTCTGTACAGAAACACAGTATAGTGCTAAGGCGCGTTCCATTGCAAATGCAGTGGCTCAGAACCCTTTCCAGTTGGTATATTGTATTATAAAAATTAGGTGTCTCATAGACAGGAGAAATAGAAAGGGGCTATAGAAGCAGAAACACTGAGAACTAATATCCTCAGATATTTCCAAATAGCAGTATTTGAGGAAGTGGTAGATGAGTTATATAAATGTTGAGTGTTCCAGGACTATGTAGTGTAGGGACAATCAGCTTTATAGCTCAGCAGTCCTTACATTTTCCCTTAACAGTATAATAATCTCTCTTTTGTTAAGTTCATTCTGAAAAACGTATATTGGGACTATGGCATTTGTCTGTAAGGTACTAGGCCCTAGACAAAGAAAGGTGTGGCTTCTGGAGCTTAGAGATGGACAGATAATATAGAAAGATAGTCCATGAGGCACCTGAGTGTCTCAGTCAGTTAAGCATCTGCCTTTGGCTCAGGCCATGATCCCGCAGTCCTGGGATCCAGCCCGCATCGGGCTCCCTGCTCAGCGGGGAGGGAGCCTGCTTCTCCCTCTGCCTGCCGCTTGTGCTCTCTCTCCCTACTTGTGCACATTCTCTCTCTCACAAATGAGTAAAATCCTTAAAGATAGCCCAGGAGGAGGAACTGTTCCTAAGTTCGAGAGTCATTTGGAACTGTAGTGATTAGTAGTGACTGTGTCAGCAAAGAGCCAGAGAGGGGCCTGCTCAGGACCTCTTGGGTGTAAATAATGTATCTGAAGAATCACAAGTGCATTTAGTTTGAGTAGAGCAGACAGATTGTGGGAAATTAGGGACGGACAAGCTGTGTTGTTCGACGGGGCAGAGACTTTATTTTTTCTTAAGGTTTTATTTATTTATTTGACAGAGAGACAGTGAGAGAGGGAACACAAGCAGGAGGAGTAGGAGAGGGAGAAGTAGACTTCCTGCCAAGAAGAGAGCCCTGCTCGGGGCTTGATCCCAGGACCCTGGGGATCACTACCTGAACTGAAGGCAGAGGCTTAACAACTGAGCCACCCAGGTGCCTGAGCCTTGAATTTTAGAAGGACTAAATGTTTGATTACATTTAGAGTTCTCTGTTTATTAAGATGTAAAAGAATATGTTCTTTTATATTTATATATATACT